ATGGGTCCCGTGAGCTGGTTGTTCTTCAAAATCCTGCATCAATAAATGAGAGAGAAAAAATGTTACCACTACAACCCAAGCATCGCAAAACCATGAAAAAAACTACTACTACTCCAACAAGATGTTCAGTATCATAATCTGGATTCTAGAACAAGATGTTCCAAAACTTAATGTAAATCAATTAGTCTCTGATGTCTCAGTATTAGCCTGAACTTTCCAAAGAAGGGAGAGGAAGTGCCCATATCTCAACAGCTATAGGCCATAGCTCTTGCTAAAGAAAAGGTAGGAAAAGATTTAAAAAAAGTAGAGCTTACAGCTCCTCAAGCTGCTTGAGCTTGGAGATGGAGAAGGGGATGTCTCCATACAGCAAGTTGCCAGACAAATCCCTGCATGGCAAGAATCAAAAGAGCCCAATTAAAAAATTAGCTAGAACACCCTGTTACAAAAAGTAACAGAATAAAAGAAGACTTAGATTAGGTGAAGTACAAATATTTTAAGGAGATGCAGTCCCCAATCTCATCTGGGATTTGGCCAGTGAGCTTGTTCCCCTTGAGATCACTGCAGAGAGGCAAATCATTAGAGCACAAATAAACTAATCAGCGAGCAAATCCACAGGCTTAAAGTAAAATAGTAAAGAACTGTGTCACATCATGGCATGAGGGGTCAAATCAGGTGAAGTGTGCAGGATTATAAAAAGAAAATACAGGCTAGTCAAATGCACAAAAACTCAGGTAGATGCAAAGCAAGGGGAAATAGTACTCTCTACTCATATCCGTACTCACACGAACTGTAGATTCTTGAGCTCTCCGATGGCCGGCGAGATCTCACCTCCTAGGTTTAGATTTGACAAGTTCCTGTTTTTCACACAGGGAAACACTCTCATCACAAAAATCCTTTTTAGCATAACAAACAAGATAGCCTCACTAATATCCAAAGACCTACGCAAGATAACAAGAAAAACCCGTTTCTTTTCCATTAGATATATACGATAACAACAAGATTATCAAGAAGAAACATTCACAGCAATCTAGGCACAAATAGACCAACCAAGAAAAGGTTTTTATTCAGAAAAAAAAGGGAGGCAAGAATAGAACAGAACAGTTGAACTATTTGCTCCTCCTGATCAGAATGCCAGAGCGAGCACGGCAAGAGAGAAAAATCACATGAAGCACAGAGTGCACGCTGGAAAAAGAAAAGAAAAGAAAAAACCAACAGCCACCACAAGAGAAGATTGCAAGAACAAGAACGCAACCACCCGCGCCGCCGCGCGCCATGTCTGCCCAGGAAAGAACACCGAGCTTCGCAGGGAGGAGGACGTACAGGGCGAGGACGGCGAAGGAGGCGTTGTCGCAGGTGACGCCGCGCCACGCGCAGTGGTCGGCGCCGCCGTCCCAGTCGACGAGCGCGTTGGCCGCGTTCCCGAAACCGGCCTTCACGCCCATCAGCGCCTTCCCCTCCCCATCTCCCCCTCCTCCTCCTCCGGAGGCCGCCTCCGCCACCGCCACACCAACAACCACCACCACCCACCACCACAGCCACGGCGCCCTCGCCGCCGCCATTGATCCAAGAACCACCACCACCTAGCTTATTCCCTCTCAAGCCGCTCCTCCTCCCCCCTTTCAGGGCACTCGCACTCGTTGTGTCACTAGTGCATCGACCCTGGCCGAGTTACCACCACCACCACGACCACCATGGCTCTCTCTCTCTTTCTCTGAGCTCTGATCGATCGATGGGGGGGAGCAATGGTGTTTTGTGGGGGTGGTGCCGATAGCGACGTGACTGTTGTTGCTTTCGGGAGGCAGCCGCTGCACTGCACTGCACCGCAGCACGCAGCAGCAACCAAGAGAGAGAAAGAGGAGAGAGAAGAGAGAGAGAGGGGCTCACTGTGTGGGTGTCTGAGCTGAGCTGAGCTGGTGCCATGGTGGTGGTGGCAGGAGAGAGAAAGAGGAGGAGGAGGAGGAAGGCTGACAAAGTGGGGCCCACCTCGTCAGTGAGTGGACCCGGTGGGTAGGGGGGTACGTGTAGGCGTAGGGGCCCGTGGCTTCCAGTTTTTTTCAAAAAATCTCTCTACCACGGTTGGCTGGCTGCTTGATGAGTCGATGACATGTGGGCCCGGGTCGGCTTGGGCGATCACATGTCAGTGGGTGTGGGCCCACATGTCAGTGTATCGGTGGACGAGGGGGTTTAAGCTAGGCGGGTTTAGAGGAGGCGCGCGAAAAATTAAACGCGATTTGGTTTGGTTGGTTAATTTTAGGGGGGGGGCTCGGGATCCTCTGCGGCCGTAACTCTGTGAGCGGCTGCCAGGTGGGCCCACCGGGGCCATCTCGTGTAGTACAATTTTATTTTCAATTAATTAATCTTGTAGTACAAGACGGAATGTGTGGCGCCGTTGGTGATGACTGATGAGTGATGGCCATGACCAGCCGTGCACCGTACGGCCTGTCGTCTAAACCATCGTCAAGAGCTGATCAAGAGATGAAGAGAGAAAGATAATGAAGGCAATGAGGAGTGTAGCAGATGATACTAACATGGATGGATGTTTTTGTACTGTTTGATTGCCAATTAATTTCTGGCTAGCTAAACCAATCAATCGTATGAATCGTGGTAGGTGGTGGTCTCGGTAGACCAGATGTCCCTGGAGTAGGGTTTGCTCAATTGTACACATGCATGCATCCCACATGAGCTAGCTGATTGACATATGCACCTTTGAGATTATTCCTATTAATTCGTGAAGATGGAGGTGAGATATAAATATGGGTAAACTAAAATACTATGGCTGTGTTTAGTTCCTTTTTAATTTTTTTTACGTATACGGACACACATTTAAAATATTAAACGTAGACTAATAACAAAATAAATTACATATTCCGTTGGTAAACTGTGAGATAAATCTATTAAGCTTAATTAATCCACCATTAGCAAATATTTACTGTAGCACAATATTGTCAAATCATGGCGTAATTAGGCTCAAAAGATTAGTCTCGCGATTTACATGCAAACTGTGCAATTGGTTTTCGGAAGTTTGAGGGAACTAAACACAACCTATACATGCAAATTAACTCGGCTATTGTGGGTGTTTTTCAAATTTTCATATAATATTTAATCCATTCCTATAGTTAACATGATCATCCATCAGCATTCATTTATAGAGATGACCTCTGAATCTCGTGTACATAAAACCGAAAAAGGTAAAAATATTTAAAATTGCCCACCCAACCTACCCTGAAAAGGGGAAAAAAAACACTTGGGCTTTCTTTGGAACAAAGGGAAAATGTGAAGGATTTTTAGAGGATTTAAATTCTTAGGATAAACTTCCTATGATGAACTCATTCAAAACAAAGGATATATATGTCCGAAAATTCCTCTGGAAAACCCATGGAATGAGCTAGTTCATAGAAATTTTGGAAGAAAACAAAACATGAGGTTGTACATCACAGTTCTCTCTTATTGTGTCTATAATTTCTCTGTTTTTTCTGCATATCGTCTAAATGACTATATTAGAGTATTCCTACATTTCTAATTCCCATAGGAATTCTTAATATAAGACATTGTAATTCTATGTAGTGGCAGAGCCACCTCTCGGGCAGGTCGGGTAACTGCCCAGGATTCGCTGTTGCTGTCTCTACTATCGATGGCCATCGACACCTATAAAAATTAATCGATCACTAGAAAACACTATTAGTCATCCGGACTTGACACTCCGCCACTGATCCTGTGCCCTCTATTCTTATGTTTTCGAAATGAACCCTTAGTTATTAGCTTGATTTAGCTAATTAGCTTCCTCTCAGCCTCCAGAATTTCAACTGTTCTCTGCATGCCAAGTTGCCAACTGCCAAGTATGCATGCATATGCAGTTGTGCAGGCAGGCAGGCAGCCACGTATGCATGCGTACGTACGAAAGAGAAATACCAATTAAGGACATTAACACCTTACACAAACATGTAGCTCTGACCCCCTCTCTTGTGCAGCATCTACTGCATGCAATGTAATTACACATAGTATGTGTTCCTGCATCTTTCTGCTATGGCCTTCTTCACTTCATCAAGCCTACAGCTAACTACTATACTAGTATATAGTATAACTGCTGCTGCTGCTGCTGCATATATGTATATGCATATATATGCAGTGTGTGCATTGTCACACTTGCTACATGATCGATCGAGATGCACACAAGGCTATCCAGCAAATAATGCCGCCTCTGCATCATGCACACACACATAGGCCGTGTGTATATATGTACTTACTACATATATCTAGCTAGGTGTGCCCCAGTTTGTGTATATATGCCAATGGTTCAGAGTGAGCAGATGCAATTGCAGGCTTGGAATTAATCCTTTCATTGATCAACTCACCAGATCACAGGATCCAAGATGGGAACCACCATGTGTTGATCTTTTTATTTTTTTGGAGAACTCCATATGATTACATGAGTAAAATTTTGAAGGCCTTTGTTGTGATTATTTTACCTGCCTTAGCTTGGTTAATATTCAGAGTTGAGAGTTCTGTTATAACTTTGCATAATGAGCGCACTTATTCATATCTGAAATTTATAGGTGTATTATTGGTTTTCATTGCTGATGTGACCAAGACGGTACAGGTGTCTGAAATTAGACATGCCTCTACCTCCTTTCAACCTTTGCAAAGCTGACCTATGCATGTTATGTGTGTGATGTAGCCTCCTTTGAGCAGCCCAATGCAATGCCTGGCTACTTGTAGGCCAGAGCTGAGACAAAGAAAAAGAGTAGATGTAGAGGAGAGCAATGCTTTGCAAGAGGATAGCAACAACAATCTCAATGGCTCATGCAAAAGTCATACCACAAATCAGCTCAGGGCCTCAGGCCAACTAGGACTAGCTTAGCTCAGATTTTATGCTGAAACTTTGCAGCCTTCACCACAACTAGAGCTACTAGCCAGCTAGCTCTCCTCTCACTGTGAGCCATGTGTGCCATGCTAAGCCAAGAACCCCAAAGGAAAAAACAAGATAAAAAGATGAGCAGATCAGATCAGAGAAAAAAAATTAAACACAAGGGTCAGGGCAGCTCAGCTCAGCTAGCCATACAGCAGGCAGCAGATTCATTCATGCACATGACACACCACAACCAAACAAATATGAACATTCCAAAGACTCTATCTTTCTCATTCTCTCTCTCTCTCTCTAAGTTGTGTTTAGCAATTGCCAACAGGATGCATCAAATCTTTGCCTTCAATGAATCCATGACATTGCTGATGAATCTCTTTCTTTTGCTTTGGGTGAAAGTTTTTTGCCAGAAGTATGCAAAGGAGCTGCACCTTTATAACTGTTGTGTAGTAACAAACAGAGCATGGGGACACATCACATACATAAAAATACATGCATGCCATGACCAGTGGGTAAATAAGCAATTGCAGCAGCGGCAGCAATAGCATCATCCAGCCAGGAGACATGGGAGGACAAGAGCTGCGTGCCTTATTCTGGACTAGTCAAAAGGTTGCTGCTGCCATTGTGGAGATCGATTTGCAATGCCATCCATGGAACACCATTGCTGCTGCCATGTTGTTCTTGGTTTGGTTCTCGTTTTCTTGCTGCCAAGAACACCATGGAGATGATCAGATCAGCCAGCCCATTTGCATTGCTGATTGCTCTGAGTGGATCTGAACTGAACTGGGTACGATTACATGGCACCGGTTTTTGGCAATGTGAAGAGCTGCAGCAACAGGAGAGAGGCATGTGGTAGGGGACCAGCTTGCTGCAACAGTAGAGAGAAATTTTTACCATCTTCTCTGGGTCTCATGGCAATTCCTTGGAAGGTTTCAGGCTCCCCTGCAATGTTCTGAATCCCTGCACGGTGGTTTTTTCACTGCTTCAGAAGGATCAGGTAAAAAGAGGATGCATACTATGTGAGTGATCCACCAAATTAAGCCAAATGCATGATTAGTTTCTTTAAAGCTTCATAATATACTCTGATCAATCATATGTGCCATGATTGCTTAGCTTGTAGATTTTCTTTTGGGTGCATGTTCAGAGATGCACTGTATTTTCTTTTGGGAGTATATTTTTCAGCAAGATGAGTACAGTGCAATGTGTACGTTAAGGAATGCTGTTGCCCTGCAACAGCTGTATGCAGATGCATCCAGGACCCTTATTTGTGCAAGATCACAGGTCCCATCAATCAGCAACAGGCCAACACATGTAGGAGTAGTTTCTCCCCTCTTTCTATACACAAAAAACTATGGGAACTCAATAGATATTGGCTTTAGTATATACTACTATTGTTCTCTTTTTCGCCATTGCCGGAAATGTTCTCAGTGCGGTTGTATTAACTTGATGTAATTGGCTGAGTTGGATAACAGTCCTCCTTTATCCAAAAAAATAATAATATTGTTCTCTTTCTAATTTTTCTTTCTTTTCATTTCTCCCCCTTCTTGCTCTGAGAGTTGAATTTTACTAAGGCCTGGTTTAGTTCTAAACTTTTTCTTCAAACTTCCAGCTTTTCCATCACATCAAAACTTTTCTACACACACAAACTTTCAGCTTTTCCGTCACATCGTTTTAATTTCAATCAAACTTCCAATTTTGGCTTGAACTAAACACACCCTAATGATAATGTAGGTGCACTCTACAATGGATAATGCAGGTGAACAGTAGAGCCCTCTCTCAACTTGTTTGCATTTCATAATCAATTAATGTATGTACTCCCATGGATCATACTACTACTACTACATACACTAGCTAGCTAGGACCATGCAGTGAGGATGGATTGATTGAACCCATCATAGAATCCGTGATGGGTAGCCCTCCTTTACTCCTCTCCTAATGAAGAAGACATGATGGAAGAAACATATAGCATCCAAAAAGAAATGAAATGGGTAGTAGTAGTAGTAGTGTAGTACATGTGTGTGTCTGCATGAGAGAGGCTGTTGTTGGCAATGGCATACACATGTTTGCTTTGCATGCAAATGTGTGTTTTGCTTCCACACATGTCCCACTCTTCAGAGTTGGATATTGATGGGCTTGAGCAACATCCATAAGCAAAATATGAATGAATACACTCTAGAAGCCTCTGAACCCATATCTCCTTTTAGGGCTCCTTTGGAACTAAGGAATTTTGGACGATTTTTGAACAATTGAATTCCTATGGAAATAATTCATATATGGTCCTTTGGAAAATAGGAATGACTTTCCTTTATTCCTTTGAAATTCCTTACGATTGTCTCAGATTATAGGAATTTTGGAGGAATTACAACATGAGCTTCAACCTCTCGGAAAAATTCCTTTGTATCTATTTGTCTTTTGATTCGTGTGTTTTTCCTGTGCTCCATCCATATGATTTAAGATGCTACATTTTCGCTATCCCTGTGTTTCCAAAGGAGCTACAGTCTTGCATGTAGAGTATGACATAAACTTTTTTCTTTTTGCAACTTCATATTATCCATGGATAATAACTAAAGCATTTGTACAACAAAGAGAATGAGAAACACCATGGACCACAGCTAAGGGCAGGTGCCAGCCTAGCTATTCTGCAGACAATGCAAACCTACTTCATGTCTAGCCAAAGGAAGGACTGAAAGGGGAGGGAGGGGTAAAAGTTGATGTGGTTGAGAAGTTGAGGGGTTTGTTTGCAAAAGGGGAGGCCAAAAGAAGGGCACAGTGGCTGTGTGGCAGAGGTACTGATGCCCCATTACTGGGTCCAGTGGACATATTATTGTTGGGCACAGGCCATGTGAAGGCAGAGCAAAGCATGATGATGGCACACCCAGAAATGAGGATAGATAAGATAACAAAAGTTCTGGTATTTGTTGGTCTGGTGACAAGAGGTAAGGACAGCAAGGTGAAAACTACTTACTTTAAGCCTATAGCTAATCTGATCAGGGTGTGCCAAACACTTGCACTATGATGATACATTTCAGTTAGGGAAAGCTGATGTTGATTTGTACAACATGAGTTTCTTGTGTTTTCTATGTGTAGTACATTGTAATTTGCAACAAGATAAAAGATGTACTTCTACTCTATCTGTTCCAAAATATAAGTATTTATAACGATGATACATAGTCGGAAATGATTATATTTTATAACTGCCGGACTAATATGTTAGATACATAAAGGACCAACTTTTGTCCCTCCTTGAAATGAAATAACTCCACTACTAGTTCTCTGGATGCCTGATAGTAATGGCATCTCATTAGTTGATCTATTCCCATGACAAGTGACCTCCTTTTAGGCAGGTTCTTGTGATGACTGTGGCACGGCACTCACTCAGGGGGTGTTTAGATGGGGCTAAAACTTCTTAGTCCGTGTCACATCGAATGTTTGACGCTAATTTGGAGTATTAAACATAGACTAATAAAAAAACTAATTTCATAAATGAAAGCTAATCTGCGAGACGAATTTTTTAAGCCTAATTAATCCATAATTATGAAAAGTTTACTGTAGCATCACATTGTCAAATCATGGTGTAATTAGACTCAAAAGATTCGTCTCGCGAATTAGTCCAAGGTTATAGAATAGGTTTTATAATTAGTGTATGTTTAATACTCTAAATTAGTGTATAAACATCCGATGTGACAGGGACTTAAAATAAGTCACTGTTTCCCAAACAGGCCCTCAGTTGCATGGCCCTGAAGAGGGGAGCAGAGGAGGTTTCTTTCAATTTCATTTCAATTGGTACAAGGAAAAGAGAAAAGAGTGATGGGATAGGAGTCCTCATACATCTTGGCACTCACAATGGCACCCACATGCCACATCCATCCGTTCATCCATCAATGCCTCCTGAACTGAAGCATTTCTTTGAACACCATTTCTAGATCCATCATGGAATAGAGATAGCCTCCCTTGTGTAGAAGAGTAGCCGTACTGTAGTACTGTAGTTAAGGATGTGAGAGGTTTCTTGTAGGTGTGAAAAGTGGCTGCCATGTGGGGCCATGGTCGAACAATCAAAACAAAAGCTGGTGCTATCATCTTAGGGGGATGGGAACCTGCAGTGCATAGTACTCGTATATGTATGGTGGTAGACTGTGGAGTGTATGCTGGTAGAAAACTTTATTTATTAATTATACTACTCCCAACCAAAGGTCCTTCTATCACCTTCCTATAGGAGTGCTGCATTTTTGGAGTATGTGTGTGTCCATGCTCCATAAATTTCAAGATTGACAAAATGCTGCATTTTGGATGGATATCTGAACTTTATACTCTATCCAGTACTCTTTGTTAGGAGTATATGATTTATGAAGAATTATTGAGGTCTAATGGGTTTTTATGTGATAGCATGCAGTTTCTTAGAGTAGGTGCCAGAAGAGCATGGGTTCTTTTACCACTAAACTTCATTTGTCTATGCAAAAATAGTAACTAGTGGAGTAAGTAAATAGACTAGACTAATGACTGTACTTACTGTATGAAAAGCTGCAAAATATATATACCTTGAAATTCGGGCATTGGGATATGGCGTCAAGATGATACCATAAACCTGCAATTGGTGCTGAAACTGCTGAACCTGAGATCCACATCATCACCAGCCAGGGTATGTAGGAGAAGAGGAACATTCTGATCCAAGTAACCTGGCCCACCCACCAGTGGAGCACAGACAACTGGGCCCTCACCACAGGCCCCACACCTCAGCACAAAACAGGATTATCAGAACCATTCACCATTGCCACTGCAATTCCCCAGGATTAGTAGGCGTTTGCAGGCCAAAGCCACACAGTGACACATATTCCCTCTCTGAATATCTTGCACAGAAGATAGCTGCTGTAGAGCTGAGAGGAAAAGATATGGCTTTTCAGTTACAGCAACAACTTTGCATCTGATCAGATCAGATCAGATCACTATCTGTGGAGAGAGACCAGAGAATGTGATTGTAGTAGTAGTAATAACCATCTTAATTGGCTTAATTACTCTGGTCAAGTGGTGGTCAGCTCACCAAAACAAGAATCCTAAGCCAGGATTGCATTGATGATCCCAGCCTGATCTGCTTCCTTCCTTCCTTGTCACATGGCCATGAAGAACAAGTCTTTGGCGACACTGTGGATGGACATCACTCCTCCTAACTAACTCGGCCGCCCAACTTAAAAATCACTGCTCCCTCCTCTGCCTCCATCGCCATCACCGACACCAGCCGACCCGACAACCAAATCTACTTATCAAACCCGTCACGAGTAGCTCGCAGCTGCCACTGCAGCCTAAATTCTCCAATTTCTTATCTATACAGGGATCAGAAGCATTCTCAGGACGGTTGTATCATCTTGATGTAATTGGTCGAGTTCAGTAAACTCTCGCCGCGTGTCATCGGATATCGGCGGTTTGCAATCACTCACTGACAGGTGGGCCCCTCGCCAGCATGTGAACTTCGTCCCAGCTCACATGTCATCTGCAATCGATCGAATACCGGTGGTGAGATGAGGATTTGTTTCTTGGTTCTTGGTAATAAGAAACAGTGAAGTTCGTATGCTCATGATCAGGATGTACAGGGGAGGTGGACCAACCATAGGTGGTGTGGTGCTGCTGCTGCGAGATCCAGCTCTGTGCGACGGCACATGCATTGCGTCCATCCGCGCCTTTTCTTTTCTTTTCTTTTCTCCGTGATGCTGCGAAAAATCGCAAATGGGGGCGCTAAATGGGCCATGCGGATGAGTAAACGTCCACCTGCTGCTGCTGCCATGGCGATCGCGACGCTGGCTTCGTCCGGGACATGATTAGCTCCTCGTCGCCTCACCAATTGGCCACCACCAATCATTCTTCTCCAATCATGAGATGGCTTATCTGGATTCTGGATTTGTAGAGCTTGCTTAGATCTGGGCATCAGCTGATAAAAATGGCTATATGATTCTGGATTGGTAGAGCTATTTGCCTCAGTTTGAAATAGGTTATTGTACATATTGTTGCTGCAGATTATCTACTTGATTATATTTTGATTATATGGATGGACAAAATATTTTGATAAATAAACTTAACAAATGACCTAAAATAAGTGATCTAAGAAATACAATATATAATATAAGAAAGTTTTTTTTTGAGAAAATGCATTTTTAAAGCGTGGAGCGCAAATAATTCGTTTCAACAATCCAATAAATAATTCAAAAAGAACTAAAGCCAAAGGTTTTAATAGACCTGGGCATCAACTGATGGTTCGCTCGTGTGTTCAGTTTCAGTTGTGATGGCATCTCAAGAATTTGATCTTTTCAGGCTTTCAGATAGGCCTGCAAGAGGGCAGAAAGAGTTCGGTTTAAGTGACGATAACTGAAATACCAGTATATGGCATGGAATTCGAAAGTATCTGCACACGGTACAAAGAAAGTAACGGAACAGTGGTATATGTAAATTTTTAGCAGTGTTTGTTTACATGACTGTTTTGGTACGGGTTGAAGCTATGGGCGTTTATTTACACCGTGAGTTCATCTTTAGCTTCCCCTCTCAAATGGCTCATGAAATATAGGGTTTTCTTGTACATGTACATGTTACAGATGGCAAGGGATATCAATGCCTGAATGGGCGCGCGACCACTTGCAAACCAATAGTTATGTTGAGGAGATGGTAATACTGGCCAAATTAAAACTGCTGATGCATAGGGCGCACCATTGTCTAGTGTCAACTTGAACCAAATTCTTCGTTCCATTTCTCTAGCTCGTCCCACTTGCTCTTCTGCAGGCTTGGCCTAATCACAGTCATGGCTTTCTTGAAATCTTCGTATTTCAGGGGCCGCAACTACAATGAAGTAAGAAAAGGAGGGATATGATTAGGACACTTCAGAAAGCTCACACTGTATGAAGATGTAACTCGAAATACCTGATTTGCTTTTATAGTGAGAATATTTTGTGGACCAAGCTCTCTGATTGGCATCATGGCAGCTTCCTCACACAATGCTCTCAGATCACTCCCGGAATATCCTATAACATATTTATTTCAGCACCAAGTAACACATATGTCGTCTTATCAGAATGGCAATATACCAGAAAAATAAAACTACCTTCAGTATCTGCAGCAAGCCTTTCAAGATCATGACCTGAAAGGGGACAGTTCCAGATTTAGAGTGGTACTACATATACAAAAGCCGAAAGACATGCAGACATACAGAATAATCTGGGAAATTCCCCAGTTCTTTCGAACTAGTCTTTCCACAATGCAGTGATCACTAAGTGAGAAGTCCATGTTTCAGGTAAGGAACAAAAGGCTGATTTCCAAAGAAGCTTTTAGTATGAAAATCCAGAGTTGGTGACTTTTGAAGGGGGCCATTGCAAATTTAGGTCACTGTGATTTTTGAAAACTATTTAGGGATCATCTAGGAAAAATTAAATTGTGATATAGACTCAATCATGTTAGGATTAAAAGAAGAGGCGAAAACATCATTTTTTAATGATCTCCAGTAGTCAAATATTCAAATATATAAACTGTAATCCAGGGCGAACTTTTGTTTCCAAGAAATTTTACTTTTGGTTAATGTACTTCTGTGAAGGAATGAACACTAGTGCTGTAGTCCAAAGAAGCTACCAAGAGAAGGCCTTAAACAACAACTAGACAGAGCATTTGTGAAACCTAAAACGTAATAAAGAAGCAGCTACTTACTGGATAATTTGAATGATTGTCCTTTGAGCTGAGTTTTCAGCAGTAATCTTCGGACATTTGGATCAGGTAATGGCACATATATTCTCTTTACCTGTTTATAGGAATAAATGTTATGGCATTCACAAAAAAAGGAGCAAAGCTAGTTCAAATTACTGGCTCCTATACATACTACTACAATATATAAGCACTAGAAATTCAGGAGTAAAAGGTTTATATAAACAAGCTGCATTATGTACCAAAATATAAGTGCTCAGCCTTTTTTCAAGAATATGGATATATGCATTATTTATAAGTAATAACACCTCAGACTCTTCTTTCTAAAAGAACCTGGCTACCACAACAAGCTGCCTGCTTGTAAACAGTGAAAAATAGCATTTTCTTTAGTCCAGTTCCTAACCAATTGCTTGTACCACAATACCCACGGGCAAAGGTGGAACTTGTACCAGGCATTAAGCAGCAGAAACTATTGCATAGAAATTTTGAAGACCTAAATGCAATGCAGGAAACATGAAGCCAAAATAGTGGCAGTAGTCCCAAATATATATCAATCTTACCAGTCTACGGAGAACAGCATCATCCAGCTCTTGTGGCTTATTGGTAGCACCTAAACAAATAAATTCCATTAATAGATGACGCAAGTAATAAAAGAAGACACTTAGTATAAAAAAATATTGGCGACAAAGAATTTTTGTTTTTCGTTTTAACATACACTCACTAAGTGAGAAAACGACCTACATACATGCACTAAAATCAGGAAAGCTGTATCACTCAAGATCACAAACTTTTGCTGATAATGTTGGAAACTATTTAGAAGTATCCTAGTATACAAAAAATAATACCAAAAAAATGAGTTTGGAGTTATTTAACAACACCCGAACACACTTTTAACAATTTCTTATATAAATGAATTGAATCAGGAAACAAATCAGTAGCATGTCATAAATACTTTCCCTATTTCAGAAATGCTTTTAACATGGACACTCAGTAATATATGACCATGACAAATAGTTATACGATACTAGTAGTAAATAAATATTTTCTCCATAACCAATCATAACACAAGCTAACTTCAATTAAGTAACTAGAAAAAGATAGTGATGCTAACCTATAACAATAACAAGATCATCAGGGTTTGAAGTGACCCCATCAAACTGGATAAGAAATTCAGATTTCAACCGCCTGCTAGCATCATTCTCATTAGCTAACCTTGCTGACATGACACTATCAATCTGTAAAAGGCAGTCAACATGGGCAATAAGCAACTATCTAAAATAATAAAAATAAAGTAGCTAAACACATTAAGATCCTAGACCGACTAAGCTAGCACAGAAAGCCAGATATGCAGATAACATCTTTGCATTCATCTATATTTCTTGATAGATTTGAATGGAAAGGAATGCTTTAGAACCAAACGTTAACGTTCTGGTAGAATTTGTGGACAACAATAACAATAAAAAAATATTCTCGATGTATTAAACAAATGACCTCAGCAGGCAAGCATCACAAAAGTTCAAAATAATAAAAGGGGTGACATGAAACCATAGAAGCCTTAATGACAACATCACAGCATAACAGAGTAAGCCTAATAGCAGAATGCTATGATGAGCACATTCTGGTATTCTGTGGAAAGTTTACACAAAACACGTGTGATGCAGAACACATATATTTACATGTTCTAATCACATGGTTTAAATGGATAGAAGTTCTCAGAAGCAAACTATTTAGAGAAACATCCTTTTTTTTCATTCCAAAAAGATGATAGACATGGTTCCAACTCATGTTGATGGGCTACACTAAAAACACTCCTAAGGAAAAAAATGGAGTCGAGAAAACATTTTGTGTTGACATCAATTTATACTTCATAAATTTAACTACAAGTGCACTACAAGAAGGGTTTATAATGAGGACCTCATCCATAAAAATTACAGATGGTTGTCTATCGACAGCGACCATGAAGAGTGTCCGTACAAGCTTTTCAGCCTCTCCTACCTGTTTTGCAATGAAAGAATAAACTTGATTCAGAGTGGGGAATATGTGTAAGCATGTAACGTATGGAGGGATGGCCACATACCCACTTTGATGTCAGTGAAGAAGCTGAAACATTAAAAAATGTTGCTTCAGATTCTGATGCAACAGCTTTGGCAAGCATCGTCTTTCCATTCCCCGGGGGACCAAAGAGAAGAAGCCCTAAGGTATATTATGATGTACATAAGATGGCTATTATTACAAAACAATGTATATAACAGAAATTATCAGAGCGAAGATGTTTACCTCTAGCAGGCCTCCGAAGACCAGTAAACAAATCCCTTCGCTTGGTAGGTAAAATGACCATTTCCATGAGTGCTTGCTTTGCCTTGTCAAGGCCAGCTGCAGATCAAAGCAGAGGATAAGAACACTACAATGAACACTAGGTTTTATTTGCCATAGCATGAAAAACAAATTATAAGCTTCCTACCAACATCTTCCCATTTAACAGCAGGACTTCTATCCACAATGGTCGTATTTATCATTTCAACAAGCTTATCATCATAGTTTGCACCAGCTCTTTGCACAGGTTTGGCACCTCCACTGCTACTCTTCTGATGAGAAGATGCTTGACCACCTCTATTAAAGGTAGGGCTAGGCTGCGAAGTAGGCCTATGGAAGCTAGTTGATGCGGCTCTGTCATTCCTATTAACAGGATTGTTTGTAACAACCTGTAAAATATAATACACAGCTATTGAAAAAAATACATAATCGATTCGCTTGCCACAAGTAACTCGTTAAGAAAATACAGTGTTCAAAACCTCAACATAACTTTGCAAACAATCTTACTTAATTTTCTTAGATTGGACATTTTGCTGAACGCATGTCATTAAAGCAGCAAACCGTCAAAGCCAAATAAGTAGAGACCTAATTGCATTTTGAAGTTTCATGAGTTACTTCAATTTTCAAATTTTATTATTGAAATTACAAATACTCATTAGAAAAGGCTACATTGATAGCAATCACACTTGAATGGCTAAGTCAGAAGTGAAGTGTAGAAAATAAACAGCTGAGTAAACAATTATTGAACAAAAGGAAAAAAAACCAACAGGCACGCTCGCTCCACCTAGAAAACATGCCATCTTATTTAGAAGTAAGAGAGTTGACCCTACTGCATATTCAGTTTCGCATGCAGCACTCATGTTAATTGCAACAAACAAACACCAATGCACTAAGATTCACAGCCTGGAAAACAATTAAAGCTAAATTTGACAGAATTACAACGTTAACAACTACAGTTCAATGAAATCCATACCTTCTTTGGCACTGGTGCAGCCGCTCCTGCAAAATCAGATGATATAGATAGTTAACTCCCAGTGAACTACAATACAAAACCAAAGCAAGCACAAGTTTATGTACGTTAACAAAACAAAAGACAAAAGAAACTCAAGCGTCCATGTATTATGTTGGTATGAACTATCATAGAAACTGAAAAGCAGAACATTAAGACCTGTAACTGAAAACACACCCCACTTGCTTGTTGTTTAATCCAAGCATACAAGCAATGGACGTTCTAAGCTTCTATCTATATCATATACGTAAATTCCTAAATTAACACCAACACGCAGGGGCGGAACTGGGCCTAGGGCAGCTTGGGCCCGAGGCCTACTCGTGAGAGAAATTTTAGTGGACTTGTACTAGGGATGGCAACGGGGACCCGAATCCTGAATCCCCGTGGGGAAAAACTCTATTAGGGGCTATAAATAGGTCCATATTACTCCCCATGGGGTTGTTAACGGGCAAAAGCAAGCCCCGTCGGGTGGGGCGGGTTCGGGGGCGTTCTCTAGGCCCCCGTCCCCGAATCCCCGAGCCCCCGAGTGTAGCACATGTGCACCTCTCCTCAGCCCATCTAGAGATCAGAAGCCCAACTATCCAGGCCCAATTCACATGGACAGATACACATATAAATAGAGAAACCCTAGGTCACAACACAGCTCGTTTAGTCACTCGGCTAGGTACCCAAGCGCCGCCACACACCCAAGCTACAGACGCCGGCGTAGATCGATGCATCACCGAGGCAGCGACGACTCCAGGCTGTGCCCCACGCCGCGTCCTGACCCTCTGCCGTTGTTCGCCTTGGGCACCGGCCGCGTCGTCGCTTCGCTGCGCGCCTGGGCTGAGCCGCCGCCGATGTAGCGGCCTGCCGATGCAAAGCACAGCGTGAGAGCTGCACAGCAGCCACATGAACTTTGATTCTACTGCTTTTGATTGGTGCATAGCTTGCTCTTGGGAATTGGAATGAATCATGTAACTTCTCTCTTCTGATTCATGGATCTGATGTGTGTCTTTATCAAAAAAGAAAGAAAGAAAGGATTTGTCATCTGGGTGCATGACTAAGCATTTCCTTTTCTTAATTCTTGTGCATCTATTCTCTCTACTCCCAAATTCCCAAACTTTTCTGAATTTGTATTTGTGTCTCCTCTCAATTCCCAAATTGATGCACCGTGCTGCACTGTGTTTCCTCTCGGGTGCGCGCCCCCGTCAGAGCCCCGGAACCCCGGTTGGGGCGGGGACGGGAGGAAGATTGCCCCCGACTGCAGGGACAGGGATGGGGAGCGGGGGATTTCCAACTGCTCGGGGGAGGGGACGGGCGGGCACTATCCGTCGGGGATGTCCCCGTTGCCATCCCTAACTTGTACCCATATATTTTCAGATTTTGTCAAACTCCAATGGCCCAGCCCTATGCGTGGCCATTCTCAGCCTCGTGTCCTTCAACCCAATTGGAAGCCCATAGCAGCCCAGTAGCAACTAACCCTAATCCCCACCAATCCCACCGTCCCCCTAGCCACGACACACGAGCGCTTGCGCCGCATCTGCTCCCAACCACAGCCATTGACGCAGCAGGATGCTCGTCGCCTCGCCCTCACCTCACCTCCTCTCGTCTCGCCACATAGATGGCCACGGCACGCATCGGCATCGGCAGCGAGCTAGCAACAGCAACGACGTTTCCCCTTCCTCAGCAACTTCGTCTCCCAACCCAGCATCTTTGCTCAAGTCTCAGGCCTCAAGTCAAGCACCCAAGAAAGTTTGATTCCTAAAATATAGGTTGGTCTTCTCTCAAATGTTCGATCCGTATTCTCATTGTGCATTTGGTAGCTATTAATCAATTAGAAATCTTGTTTGATTTCCTAGATGAAGAGCAGAGTGATAAAATCATTCTATCAAGTCTTCCAATGAATCCACACCAACCTCATAAATAGTATAAATTGATGATTCCTCGCGGTATTAATTGATGAGGCATGAGATGGCGAAAAGCAATCGATTGTTTCCGTTGCCAAGTGTTGCTCTTCTATCTTAGATTTTTTAAAAAAACTAAACTAATTTGATTGCCAACACTGTTAATTAAGACTGAGCCTTCTTAGCTATGTATATAATTAAAACATAGCTCACAAACAAGATGAATGATGGCTGGATGAATATTGCATGTTATGCTATATTGCGCTAGATTTGTTTGCTAGCATTGAAAATCGGCGGATTATACTATACTTCTACCGTACTGCAGTGTACAAATTTTCATGGGTAGTTTTAGCCTTCAATTTGAGCCCTAGGCGTCGAGAAATCCTGGCTCCACCACTGCCAACACGCAATGGTTCACGAGTAAACTATGGAGTACAAGTTAATGTCTCTAGACGAATAAGTGGAGGACATGGCTGGGAAACCACATTTCATGAGCTCGGTGGTAGTTGCTCTCTAGACGAATAAGACGGAGGTAAATTGATGGGGGGAAAGAAGTGGATCGACTCACCACTCCTCTGGCCGAGCACCCGGAGTCGTTCCTCCACCTGAGTCTGCCACTTTGCGATCTTCTCCTGGTAGACCCTAACCTGCCCCCTCTCGCTGCAATCAAAAACGCACTCACGCCAATCAGCAATCACAAACCCTAACCGCGCAGTGGGGAAGGGAAGGGCGCACGCACGCACGGACCTGGAGGATACGGCGTCCGGGACGCGGGCGGCCTTGGCCTCGAGCATGACGCGGAGCGCGTTGCGGTAGTGCGCGGCGGCGTCGTCGGGGAGCCCCCACTCCTCGGCGCGCACGGCCTTGTCGATCTCCTCCTTGGCCAGCTCGAAGTATCCCCTGAGCTTCACCGCCACGCGCTCCCCCACCACCGCCGCCGGCGACGGCGCCGCCGCGGCCCCGTCCATGTCTCCCCCCTTCGCAGCCGCCGAGTACAGCAGCGACGACAGGGAGTCCGCGAGCGCGCGGAGGAAGCTCATGCGCCGACGGCGAGCAGCGCCGCCGGGAGCATCCGGATTCCGCGACGCGCGATCGAGTTGGTGGGGAGGAGGAGGAAGGGGAGGATCGCGTATTCGCGTGGGCGTCCACTAGTCCACGCAAGCGGCGGAGGGGAACGAACACTATCGGGCTCGGGGCTACATGGGCTCATGGGCTGAGCCCAATACAATACCGCTATACACTTATCAGGCCAGACCAGTGGGCCACACTGATTCATCTCCCAGTCTAAATAAGTCTATTTGGCATCCCTCCAGTCTTGCCCATGGTCGAATTGCATCGCATACCTCCAGACTTATTCCGTATAAGAGCACTTCAGAGATACTCCAATACTTACTACACAGGCATAGGATTATTCATGTCTGTTATGTTAGCATCCTGATAATTCAATTTCAAGTCATGTGCCATTGATTTGCTCTTGTGATGAAAAGAGTAATACACTACTTCAGAGATACTCCAATACAGGCTGCACAAGTCATAGTATTATTTCAGATGAAAAAATTGGCCCTTGGAGTTATTTTCTGCTGAAGCTCCTTGCCTTTGTAGACTCTTGTTACTGGCTTACTGCAGAACTCAGCCTCTCATTGTTGAATTCAGTTTCATCTTCCCTGAGACAAGAACAAGGGAGCTTTTCGAATCATTGTAGTACTTCAGACAAGAACAAGGGAGTAGTATATTTTTTTTAGACCAGAGGCGAGGAAGGTCAAACCTATTTACAGTATTTACCTTCTCGTGTAGTCATGTAATTATTCTCGCTAAATATATTTGATTAAAAAAATCTCCAAAATGACTCAGTATGTTCTCTGCCGAATTAATTGTTTTTCTATTGCAGACTTCCAGTGCTTCGACTGTTAGCTTGTTGCTAACCAGGGGCGGAGCTACATTGAAGAGGGGGTGCCCAGAAACCCGGTCAATAAATTTTTTTAGTTGTAGTTCATTTATTTTCACCATATAGGCACCCCTCTAATCCAAACTCAGGCACTCATATCAACCTAAACTCGGCCTAAAGTAGAGTAAAGCAAGCGAATGGCACCCCTCTCCATTTTGTTCTAGCTCCGCCCCTGTTGCTAACCAAATCCAAGGATGAAAGCAAGCCGATATTTCCTCCATTTTCCCTTGATATGAACTAAGATTAGATTTATGGCCATGCAAAGTTGGAAACCTTGGGGTGAATGACAATGACACGGCAACTGATAAAGAGTCGTAGAGTCTCATCTTTTCGCTTAGGCTTATCAGCCAAAATTTAAACTTTCAACCTTAAATTTAGAGTTAATTTTGAGTTTTTTTTATCAAAATTTATTTTACAACCTTTATTTTTAAATCGTTAAGAACATGTATATAAAAATTTTATTTATAAAATATTTTTCGTTTATAAATATCCTGTTTAACTTATTCCCTCAAGAAACCAAATGATAGGGCGTGTACTCTCTCTATAAAAAGGAATCCAATTGTGATTTTGAAACTGAACATACACGCACTTTGGATAATTGGATGGTCTCGGACAGCTGCGACGTCACGCAGATGCAGTTTGTCAGATTTGCCAGTTCCAATCAACAGACTTTTTTCGTTTCTGCATCCCAATCAGATAGAGCCACAACGCTCGTGACAATGAAGTGAAGTGGCGATGGCCTTCAGCTTCTAGAAGGAAACCACAAAAATGCACTATTCCATAATTAATGCAATTGTCCCCAGCAGTATGTGTCGCCTTCCGAAAGGAAAAAGTCGGAGAGAAGGCCGCCCAAAAACAGGTACCCCTCCGTCCCATAAAAGTAGTCATTTTACCCCTTGCTAAATGTCCCGTAAAGACTGTCGCTGCAGTTCCGTGCTGCCATTACTACCTCTTCTGGTGATTCTGGTCCATTCATTTGAACTGAGTGCATACACATTAATTCTTTTTTATTTCTCAAGCACTTAAACACACTGACAACTGGAGGGCACATTGGTAACTTTAACTGTGAGCTAATTTATCTCATAACTACTAGAACGTCCACCTTTGTGGGACGGAGGTAGTATTATCATAAAGTCGTTATATAAGATGAAATGAAAGTATGCATTTACGTATGCAGACTTGTAAAATACGAGTAGTATTTGGTTGCAAAGTCTCACTGAATTTGAAGATCTCGTGGATGACAGTTCTGCAGTTCACTTCTGCTCAACAGTTCAGAACTGAGATTTATTCTTCACCAACCAAAAAAAGAAAAAGAAAAAACATTTGAGATTCTTTAGAGCAATCAAACAATATACTGTTATCCATATGCCATAGCACATGACATGACTGCCTAAATAGATACTCATATTACAATAGTAGACATTGTAGTACTTCAGAAACGGGATCAATTATTGAAAAGAGACGTGTTCTTCTAGAAGGCAAGGGATGCACACAAAAACAAAAGCAATGGCCCTGTTTGGATCCGGAGGCCCTCCAGAATCTTGTTATTTAGGAGTATTAAACGTAGATTAGTGACAAAACCCATTCCGTAACCCCTAGGCTATTTTGCGAGACGAATCTAACGAGGTATATTAATCCATGATTTGCTACAGTGATGCTACAATAATCAGTCGCTAATTATGGATTAATATACATCATTAGATTCGTCTCGCAAAATAGCCTAGGGGTTATGGAATGGGTTTTGTCACTAATCTACATTTAATACTTCTAAATAGCAAGATTTCGAAGGGCTATTTAATAGCTCAGAGGATCCAAACAAGGCCAATATAGCTGTTGCCTTTAGCCTTGTGACCTTGTCAACTGCAGAGATAAGATTCAGTGAGTATAAAGTAGAGAAGTGAGCTTACTCAAATCAGCAAGCAACATCAGTATAGCAGCTATGGTTACCCAGCTCACCTACCTAGCTGCATCAGCAGGAGTGTGCTTGGCTTCAGCTCTAGCCATCGCCTTGCTGTCCATCGCCCTCTACATCATCGGCGTCGTCGCCTCCTTCGCCGTCCTCTGCGCCAAGGAGTTCGCCGAGAGAGCCCACGACCGGCCGCCGCTCGTCGGAACAGTTTTCCGGCAGCTCAAGAACTTCGACAGAATGTTCGATGAACATGTCAACTATGCAACCGCGCATCGCACCAGCAGGATTGTGTATCCCGGTCACTGCGAGGTCTTTACTTCTGATCCGGCCGTCGTTGAGCATGTCCTCAAGAACAGCTTCAGTAAATACAGCAAGGTTTTTTACTTCAATCTTTCTTACCAAAATTTTCCGCCTGTGATTCTGTATGTCAGGCGTTTATTACCTGCAAGATTTGTACAAACGATGATCAAAAGCTTGCATGCTGTACAATACGGCATATGCTATGATATGTTCTATTATAAAAAAAAATATAGCTTAGTGCAATACACATGACTATATTCATTTCTGAAATAAAAGCTAAAATGACCGAGTAACATTACCATATATGGCTCGGTTAAAAAAAAACACATTTCCATATAAATAATTAACTTAAGAGAACAGTATATTTATATAAAGTTAGTTAGCATGTCCATATGAGTTAAACTCATAAGCAAGTTACTAGTAACTATGGAAAGTATATATAGTTGAGCCTATGAGATCTTACAGTGTTTGAGCCTGATTCACAGGGGGACTTCCTCACTACAGCCATGAAGGATCTCTTTGGAGATGGAATTTTTGCAACAGATGGGGATATGTGGCGTCATCAGAGGAAGCTAGCGAGCTACGAATTCTCAACCAAAGTGTTACGTGACTTCAGCAGTGACACATTCAGAAGGAATGCTGCAAAACTGGCAGAGAAGATCTCATGTGCAGCAGCTAACAGAATTAGCATAAATATTCAGGTACTTCCATGACTAAGATCAGCACAAAAGAAAGTTTTGGTAAATGCTAAGATCAAATTTATAGCTGTAATCTATACGCGTTTTAGTTCAGCACCTTTACAGAACTGCAAAAATTAAAACAAAACCTACATATAAATGAAAAAACTGGTAGTTCTCACTATTTCACCCTTTTAATTGCAAATCAAGTTATTGTCATTCAATTTTCCTCAGGATCTTTTGATGAGAGCAACTATGGACTCAATCTTTAAAGTGGGGTTTGGTTTTGAGCTCAACACACTATCTGGATCAGATGAATCTGGCATTCAATTCAGCAAGGCCTTTGATGAGGCAAACTCCCTTGTTTACTACCGATTTGTTGACATAATGTGGAAACTGAAAAGGTATCTTAACATTGGATCAGAAGCCAAACTCAAGAGGAACATTCAGATCATCGACAGCTTTGTGATGAAACTGATCCATCAGAAGAGAGAGCAAATGAAGATTGCAGCTGACTATGTAAGGGACTCAAAATTCTATCTGTAATGTTGTTTTCTACAGTTTATGATATCATGCCTTTCCAAATAGCTCATGTTTCTGGAGCAACAAGTAGATGCATAAAGTTGAATTTGCTAGTGAAATAACAGCAGCTTCCCAAATATTTCATTTTCAACTTGCTTGAATGCAGTTCTGTGGTCTGATGTGCTCCACAAATCCAAAATGAACTCTGAATTTAGTCACTCTAAGTTTTCTTAATACAAAAAAATATAAGACAGAGCTAACATACTGCATTGTTTTATTTCTAATTCTTTTTTATGGCACGCAGAAAACCAAAGAGGACATCCTATCAAGATTTGTACTAGCAAGTGAGCAAGATCCTGGAACAATGGATGACCGCTACTTGCGTGACATAGTCCTCAACTTCCTGATAGCTGGGAAAGACACCACAGGAAATACCCTTACCTGGTTCTTCTACCTGCTATGCAAGAACCCCATAGTGCAGGATAAGGTTGCCCTTGAAATCAGAGAGTTTGTTGAATGGAGCAAGGAAGATAACACTATTGAAAGCTTCACCAAACGACTGGACGAAGGTGCAATTAGCAAAATGCACTACCTCCAGGCTACAATTTCCGAGACACTCCGGCTATATCCTGCTGTCCCAGTGGTATGAATAACTTTCACGGCTATTCCCTGTATAGAGTGGAGTTGAACTAAAATAAATCTAGTCATGATTTGGCTCGATATGGATCTGGTATTAAGTAGGTCACATGCCAACAATGGATATTAGTATTGGAAGTGTTATCTCATATTGAAGGGTTCATTCCTCAGCATGGAAACCTACATTACCATGAGATATCTGAATATAACAGTAAATAATGAGAAACAAAGTAAAGAGAATCTTAGTTATCCTTGGGAATTCTTGCCCAAAAGAAAAAAATATTAAGGAGTATTTTCATTTGTCCACCATCTTTTTGTAAAGTAAGGAAATATTATAGGAAGAGGCTGCAAGGCAAGTGTTGTTCAAAGAGAAGTCTTAATTATGCAGCATAGCTTTATGGTACTGTTAGATTTTAGTGCAATCTGCAATATTCATTAAAGGGAAAATCAATATCACATTTCTCAAACGTTGTACGCACAAAAAAAAAATATGACTAAAAACATCATCGCCTTCGTAAAAATACTTTTATATTGTTTTTGCAGGATGCTAAGATGGCAGACGAGGATGATGTACTACCAAATGGCTATAGAGTGGTAAAAGGAGATGGAATTAACTACATGATTTATGCCATGGGGAGGATGACATACCTTTGGGGTGAGGATGCACAGGAGTTCAGGCCTGAAAGATGGCTTGTGAATGGAGTTTATCAGCAAGAGAGCCCGTTCAAGTTTGTGTCTTTCAATGTAAGTACTACCAGCAAGAATCATTTACCTCAACATGTTTAAATCTAGCCTTCTGTAGATCAAGAAGAAAAGTCAAATATACAATACCGCATTCCAACTGAAGCAGGGAAAAAGAATATCATGCTACAAAATTGCAAGTAACAATAAATCATCCCATGCATGTCTTTCTTTTCAGAATGAGGTGATAATATCACCTGTATTTTGAGGATGAGGATTGAAACTTGCATCATGCGGTTACATTTAGCCAAATAAAACCATAATTGCATGTGTTAACACTTAACACCAGTTCTCATATTCTAAAAATAACCCAAGACAATTTCACTTTCCTGTAGACAAGAATCTCCATTAATAAGTCTATTTTACCATGATCAGGCTGGGCCACGTATCTGCTTGGGGAAAGAATTTGCACACAGGCAGATGAAGATCATGGCTGCTACCCTGATACATTTCTTCAAGTTCAGACTGGAAGATGAATCCAAGGAGCCAATCTATAAAACAATGTTCACTCTCCATATCGACAATGGTCTCCATCTGCTTGCAAACCCTCGAGAAATTTCACCATGAACCCCAAACAAGCTACTGCATCCTTTTGTTATTTTATTGGAACATATGCATTTCTAACATCCGTCCTATTAGGCAAGTAATAATAATCTGTCCCAAGTAGTCGTATGAAAACAACAAAGTAGCAATGGGACAATTTGCCCGGTAAAAGTAAGGTGCTTGTACAATTTAATATGCTTGTAATAGGGTGCTTAAAGAAAGAGGATGCAGCTATATCATCAACTACGTATTTAAGCTTCATTTCTTTGGATGCAAGAACCTCTTTGTATGTGCCTGGAAAGCTATAGCTTATATTGTCCATAACTAAAGATAGTCTTTGTGCATAAGAAACTTTTAAGTATCAATCCAGAGCCAGGTAAGCATCCTGCCAATCCTATGAGGTAAGGAAAAGTAGCCTTCATTGTGCTAAAAACCTACTGAGAATGAAACCAAACATTTTATCAATCACATAAAACCTATTACCAGTATTAAAAAGATTACTTCAAGAAAATAAACAGAGTAGATGACCCAGAACACAAAAATCAACGTTTGTTACAAAATTGCCTACAAGAGGGTACAAGACCTGTACTATAAGCTACTCTGATTTCAGCAGAGTAAGTTCGCTAAGGATACAATGAGAAGATATGAAATAAATGGTCACAATGATTTATTTTCAGCTAGAGTTGGAAGCTGGAGCCCAGGCCTTGATGTCCAACCCTTGATATTTCTGTAGTTCTCAATCGCCTCTTTTCTTAGCATCTCACGAGTAGCGTCTAAAGCATTCTTCACCTTCGAAAGAAGAATACCACATTTAATCCAGAAAATAGATTAAGTGAAAGGAGTTTGGATTGAGAGATTAGGGTGCGGAGAAGGGAAGATACCTTAGGGAATGACAACTTTGGTGGAGCCTCAACAACTTCACCGAATTTAACCTTTTCACGTCCAGGGAATTCTGGAAGAGTTTCCATCTTGTCGCCCTTGCGCTTCTTTTTCTTTTCATCCAGGTACCTGTGACATTGAGATATGTTATTCATGTCTATACCTTCCAATGGGTGAGACAGATAGCACAACGATTCCCTTTAGGCAATCATCAGACATGTCCAACTTCCAATAGAGATTATTAGACTAGCATCAATTCATAAGGGAATATCCGTGTTCTTGGAAACAAAAGGGCAATCTTCGATTTACATGATGCAACAAAGAAATAATCAAAGTGATATCTCTAGTGTATCAGACATTTAGACAATAAACAACTTACTTCTTCCTTTTCTGCTTCTTTGAAACTGCAACTGCCTCATCTAATTCTTTAAAACGAAGATCCACAGCTTTCCCCCTCTTCCGCTTCCTTCGGTTTTCATCTACACTCGCGTTCTCATCGCCAACCGGTCCATCCTTGCCACTAATCTCTGCGGCTTTGCTATCAGCAGTAGGCTCCAAGTTCTGCTTCTTAGTTTTCTACATGGAACATACAGAATATGACAAGGTACCAACTGCGGAAGCAAATCGGGCACAAGCTAACAAATTGCATTAATACTAGAGTAGTAGAGTTCTCTTGCATTTCCAAAGAGCAAACGATAGAATGCGATGAACAAAAGTATTACAGCAACCAGATGAACGGACTAAATGCAACGTAATAGCAGGAAAATGTACTTAAAGATACCGTGTTTATCCAGGAAATTAATCCGCAGTACCTTGTCTTTGCGAGCCTTGTTCTTCGCCGCATCGCTCTCTCCTTGTTTCCCTGTAGAGGACGTAGGAATTTCATCAGGCTATAACTACAGTTCAGCGGCAGCCGGGGTGAAAGGCGTAAGGGGAGCGCACCTGAGGAGTCTCCGGCAACGGCGCCCTTCTCGCCGCCCTTGTGCTTCTCCTGGATGGCGATGAGGCGGCGGAGCTTGGACGGGAGCGCGTCGAGCTCCCGCTGCTTCGGTGGTGGGGGCAGCCGCGATTCGCCGCCGTGCGCCGCCCGGTAGTTCTTCTCCCTCCGCCTCTGCCCTTTCCCCGGCATCTCCTCCTCCGCCGCCGCCGCTGCCGCCGCCTCTCACTGCTCCCTTGGTCGCCGCCGCCGCCGCCGCTCGGTTCGATTCGAGGAGGAAGGCGAGGTTTACACAATGGGCCAGTTGCCACATGGGCCCAAAGCCTATTTATCATTAGGCTTTAGGCCCATGTAGATATAATGGAATATGTCTACCAACAATCCCTCTTATTTAATTGGCATCCGCAACAACTGAAATCTTGAACCTCCAACTTATAAAATCAAGTTAAACTAGTTGGGTGGCCCGTGCAATTGCGCGGCTAGCACCCAAACAAAATCATATATTTTTCAGTATGATTTTACTTAAAATTTATTAAATTGCTATCACGTTGTCTTAAGACTTTGAAAGACCAAAGCTTATCATCCCCGTATTTCTAATTATATAGTTTTTAAAAGTCACACCAGCTACTACCCCTTACTTCTATCATATCCTTTTTATTTGCTTGCTTGATCTACCACTATTTGAAACCTTTAAAAATCAGATCATATAGTTTTTATAATTTCTAGAAGTCCCGTCAAACGCAGTCATAATACTCCTCTACGAGCCGTGAACTGTCTTTTCTCTATATTGTCATTGGGATTTTACAAATCGAACATAATTATCGTTCGGGTTCATTTTTTACGTTCTAAAGTCCCGCTAAACCGTCAGCGGCTTTGCCATTGTTTTCCTTTATGGCACGCCCGCTGCCTCCCTTCTTTATCGTCATTGAGATTTTAAAATCGAACATGATTATCATTGTGTTTTTTTTACTTTTTAGAAGTTCCAAACCTTTAAAAATTGGACCTCGTAGTTTTTAGAGTTTATAGTCTTGTTGGTTTCTTTTTTATAATTTTTAGAAATCCCGTTAAATGATGTCACTATACTCCTCTGCCCTTCCGCCACCTACTCTTTATTGTCATTGAGATTCTAAAAATCTAACATAACTATCGTTGGAATTCATTTTTTATATTCTAGAAGTCCCGCCAACCGTCGGCGGCTCTACTATACATCCCGCCCACTGCTTCTCCTTTTTATTATCATTGAGATTTTAAAAATCCAATATGATTAGCATTGTTTTTTTTTACTTTCTAGAAGTCCCGGCAACCGCCTTGATCGATTGCTTCACGGCCTACCCGTCGTCCTTCATTTCAATCGTTATTAGGATTCTATTTGGTGTTTTATTAACAGTTTTTATATGTCGTATCAACCGCCACCATTCTACTCCTTTATAGGCATGTTACTTAATTAATCTCGCCATGTGTTTTAGATGGTATTTTCTTTCAATAGTCTTGATTTTTTATCACCAATTTTAGTTATTTATAAATGGTATTCCTAGTATTTTTCTTTTCCTAATTTCACAATTTATTTTATTTTTCGTATTGTGTTCTTTTGGTATTTTTATTTTTTATTTTCAATTTCAATTGTTTCAAAATTGTATTCCTACTTTAACTCTCTTTTTAATTCGCCTAATTTCGGATTTTATTTTATTTTTTATTTTGAATTTTAATTAATCTACTATTAGGTTGTTATATGTACTCTTATTTTCAACACTTCTTATATTTAATTTCGAATTTAAGTTAATTTTAAATTGTATTCTGAACTCTTCTTTTCTTTTTTCTAATTTTGATTTTTTTAAAAATTTTCATTCCGAATTTTAATTAATCTTGTATTGGATTCTTATATGGACTCTTATTTCAATATTCCTTATTTTTAATTCTGAATTTCAGTTATTTTTAAATTGTATTCCTACTCGAACTCCTATTTTTCCTTTTTCTAATTTCGATTTTTTTTATTTTTATTCCGAATTTTAATTAATCACGTATTGAGTTCCTATATGGACTCCTCTTTCAATATTGCATATTTTTAGTTCCAAATTTCAGCTATTTTTGATTGTATTTCTATTTGGACTCTTCTTTTCTTTTTCTCCGATTAATGTGGGAATTTCTAGCCTCCACAGCAAACGTGGTTATGTATTTTTGGCTTGCTAATTTTTGGCTTGGTTATGTATTTATTGGCATGACAATACTGATACAATTCGGAAACGGCAGAGTTTGATTAGGATTGTTTTGCCTTTCAATGTTTCTAAAAGTGGTGTGAACACACGTATTCCCAAAATATTGTCCGTTTCCAATATGATTATGTTTTTCTTTTTTTTTTTGTTTTTGACCGATTGTACATTTCGTTTCCAGTAGATTAGGTTTTCCTTTTTTTGTTTGTTTGTTTCTTTTTTTTAAGACAGATTGTCCGATTCCGTTTCCAGTAGTATGATTAGGTTTTCCTTTTTTTTTTGTTTTTAACGATTGTCCGATTCGAGTTTCTTAATATGCCTTTTTTCTTTCTTTCTTCAGTTTTTAATTTTTAACTAATCCTAATCTAGTTCTATTTTTCCTTTTTCTTATTTTTTGATTAATGTGAGAATTTTTAGGCCATGAGAGCGAACGTGGAGACTCCTTTTTCTATTACTTTAAAGATATAATAGATAGATTAGGTCCTCCGGTATTAGAGATAGTTGGTTTACCGACATGACAAATTGACCTGATCCACTCGTATTAATTAGAAGTTTATCTGGCAAAAATAAAGTGGACCTCACATATCATCCTCACTCTCCTCCCCTATTCTCTCCCTCATCCATCCCCTTGTCCCTCAGGCCTCAGGGCGAGGAGAGCCGCCGCCATTAACGTGATGTGAAGCCGTCGTCATTGCCGACACGATGTGGAGGCGTTGCTACCGCCAGACTCCTCCCTCCACCGCTTTACCCCCTCTCATGCAGGCCATCAAAAAAACATGTCGTGGCGTGGATGGATGAGGGAGGAGTCCAAGAGTGCTGACGGCGAAGCGGCTTAAGGCAAAAAGAGTCACCGACCGGGTCACCATCTCTGTTCCCTCTTCTTTACCCTTTTCTCCCGTCTCCTCTTTTTCTCTCTTGCTTTGATCCAATTTTATAAGTTGGAGGGTGAATATTTTCGGTATTGCGGTTTAGAGATATGATTTAAGCTCGATGAAAACATGAGGAACGTTTGGTGGACTTAACCCGGAGATAAACTCTAGGATTACATTGTAATGGGCTTTTGATGGGCCGTTCCGGCCCACGAAGGATAGCAGATGGTGGTGGACTGGACTGGACTGGACCTGGATGGGTGCGTGGAATTTCTCTTCTCGGCGAGATGGCGGCGGCGGCGGCGCGTCAGTGTCTGCTTGGATTCCGACGAGCAGCGCCGCCGCCTCTCCCGCTCCTGAGCACGCGCGCTCCCTCTCCCGCTCCGTCCAGCCGCCGCGGCGCGCGCATGGCCTCGTCCGGCGACCACGCGCCGCAGCTCAGCACCGCCGTCGCGGTGCCCGGCGCGGGCGCGCCCGTCCGCGTCGTGGCCGCGCCGGGCCTCACCGAGGCGGATTTCACGAGCGCGGTGGAATCCTCGCTGTTCAGGCAGTGGCTGAAGAACCTGCAGGAGGAGAAGGGGGTCCTCACCTACGGGAGGCTGAACCTGAGGCAAATCCTCATCCAGGTGAGCCACGCTACTGTCTCACTGTGTTGAATCCGCTACATTTCTCGATCAAAAATGAGCTGCGCAAGCAAATTTTTTTTGCGTGAATCTTAATTTTCGTCGCTGCATTGGGTGCAGGGGGTTGACATGTTTGGGAAACGCGTGGGGTTTGTCAAGTTCAAGGCTGACATCATCGACGAGGAGACCAAAGCCAAGGTGATCGAAATGTTGCTGCCGCCGTTCCCTGCTCTCTTTTTATTAAAACCTTGGATAATCTGCAGCTTGCTCTACTAGAAATCTAGAAGGAAGATCCCTGAAAAAACGATTACATCTTAGATAGTCTGCTGATTACTCTACTGGAATGAGTATCCTTGAAAATTGGTTGCTACTGAAACTGATATGAATATCTCAAGTTTTGCTTGTTACAAATAGATGTTCTTCATCTGAAATATGTTTTTTGCCACCATGGTTTGCAATTGCTGATGCAGAATATCGTATAACCATAGTCTCCACACGAGTAAGTTTTAGTGGCACCAGGTTTTGCTTTGATCGTGGCACAAAATGGTTATGGTTTCAAATGAATTTTTTGGACTGTGTCTATGTATATGTTTCGTGAATTCATTGATATTCCTTGTAGCATGTTGAATTAGATGTGGTCGTTGTATAGGATTCAAAGTAAGCGGATTTTGTGTGTATTATATTTTGAGTTTTGACAATATATCCAGATTCCAGGAATTGTATTTGCAAGAGGGCCTGCTGTTGCTGTGTTGATTCTTTTGGAGTCTAAAGGGCAAACTTACGCTGTTCTTACAGAACAGGTATGTTATCATCAGTTACTGTGAATGGCTCATATTCTGGTATTAGAACCTTGTGTTGAGTATCGACCGCTCTGAAAATTTTAGGTTAGAGTTCCTGTTGGAAAATTTATATTGGAACTACCTGCTGGGATGCTAGACGATGAAAAGGGAGATTTTGTTGGCACTGCAGTCCGTGAGGTTAGTATCCCTGTTTTTCTTTATCTAGAGGTATGTGCTGTTGTTGGAGATTAGTAATGCTAGCACTCGTCCGGTCTTTGCCAGTTTGGTTCACAGACCATAGTAATACTGTATATAACATTGAGTCAGAAGTTCACCATATTTGAAGTATAGTGATAAAGGGTCTTTCATTACTGACAGGTTGAAGAAGAAACTGGAATTAAGCTAAATTTAGAGGATATGATTGACCTTACTGCATTGCTGAACCCTGACACTGGATGCAGAATGCTTCCTTCACCGGTAAATGACAAATATTTCCCTTCTCTGCGCAATATCTGGCATAACTTCTCTTCAAGAAATGAAGCTATGTATAAGCATATAGGTGTATAGTGTTAGTGTGTTACTCAATTTGGCTCGAGTATTAGGCATCACTGCATCAGGGGGGCATATTATTCTTGCTTGGTCGTCCACTAGTCCTTGCCTGGTCATTCCTTGTGTTTTACTTGTCGCAAGTCAGATTTAGACAACACATAGAGAAGCTAAAAATGTTTTCTTGCAAGAGGAATTAAAATAGCGTCAAGATGCAGATGCGATGCAGAGGGATGGGAAATTACATTTCTGTGCAGAATCCCTCCTGCCTATATGTAATCGAGTAGCAAGAATTACAAGAGATTTCCACTGTTTATGGGTCTGAAACTCTGAATGTGCTATAGATCTGTGCTATGTACAGTAACCTGCATAAAAGATTACAAATTTTTTGATCTATCACGAGCTCTTCAGTCTTGACCAACTGTCTCCTTACCCATAGGGTGGCTGCGACGAAGAGATTGGGCTGTTCCTGTACAGAGGCCACGCCGACGAGGACACCCTTAGGGCTCTCCAAGGGAAGGAGACTGGGCTGCGCGACCATGGCGAGCTGATCAAGCTGCGGGTGGTGCCGTACAGCCAGCTGTGGCGCGCCACCGCCGACGCCAAGGCGCTCAGCGCCATCGCCCTGTACGAGATGGCCAAGAGGGAAGGCCTCCTGCCGTCGTCTCCGACGACCTCTCGCCGCCGTGGCAGCTCGTCGTCGGCCAACTTGTAAGAGCCAGTCAGCTATAGCTAGCTAGCCGTGTGCTTTGTCAGAACAGCTAATGAGCAGAGCGAGCCAATTACTGTGGAGTGTGTGCCTTAATACAACAGCAAGATCGACCTGTGTAAATGACTAATTGCATGCATTTTGATGTAGAATATGAGAAATTAATAAAGCGTATGTAAACACCGTCAGTCACGCGGCAAACAGCTATCTGCATGATATACATGACCATCAGTTGCAACCCATAGTCTGTTACTATTTACCAACAAAATTGTCTTAATTGTCTAAGTTCATGTGATCAGAATCTGACCACCGTTTACCAACAAAAGTTGTCATGATTGCTTAAGGTTATGTGATTAAAATCTTTACCACACCTTAGCAAGTCCAAGAAATTCTATCACATTTCTTCAAGTCATCAACGCGTGGGATCTGATTTGTTCAAAGAAAATCTTTTTTCTCGAATGCGCAAAAGGATTGCACGTCAATATATTGGAAGATAAGTTCAAAGAAAATCTTATCACAACTATAGTTGAAACCATACAATTGTTTAAGTCATAGTTAGCTAACTTTAGACGTGGCAAAATATGACCGACAACCAATTAAGCCCAAATACATGTACGCGGCCACTATGTATCTTCACAAACAAACTTCACTTGACACAAACCAAATCCCTTTGTTACTGAGAGTTCGCTATATGACATCTACTCCCCATACAAACTTGTCCAAAGATTACAATACTGAATTTAATTCTACGAGAGTACATTTTCCAAAGATAAATGATGATGGACGGACAGACAATAATGTGATATCGACATACTCCCTCCGTCCAAAAAAATACAACCTAAATGGTGATTTAATATCACCTAGGACAACGAATTTGGACATATCTTAGGTTATCTTTTTTTGGGACGGAGGGAAGGGAGTATATATGATGATGATGTTCTTGTTTAATTATTGATATATCCATATGCTGAATGATATATCTTATTCTATTATTCGATCTAGAGCAGAATGGGCGGGTGGCAGTAGGGTCCCCTGAGCCAGCCGCCGGCGATGACCCGGTTCGCCGCCTCCGTCGTGTGCGCGCCGTCCCAGCACACGGCGCTCGACGGGTTGGCGCACGCGGCGGCGCCCCTCATGCCGCACCGCGCCACGTACTCCCAGTTGTACTCGCCGCCCCCCGCGCCGCAGCACGCCGCGATGCCGCTCCTGAACCCCAGCCGCGCCGGGGCCTGCATCATCTCCGCCACGACGGCGTAGTAGTCGGCGTACATGATCCTCACCGCCGCCGCCGGCGACGGCGACGACGGCGATGACGACGGCGACCTGCGGTGCCTGGCCTGGACGGCGGCGAGGCTGGTCTGCAGCAGCGAGTTGTGGTGGATGGCCAGCTCGTTGAGCGGCTTCAGGCAGCCGTAGTCGTCGTAGTCGGACTTGTTGCTGCTCTTGAGCTCCGTCAGGTAGAGCGCGAAGCATCCGAACGGCATGACTCCCGGGACGATGATGTCCACTGCACCCATCGCTATCAGCTTCTGCATATGCGATTGCCATATGATTTACTATTACTAGCTAAATGGCAGTACTTTACTATGGAAAAATGTGAGATATATGCACTTCGTCCCTACAGATATATAAACTTCATTTTAGAGATGATAGATAACCACGGTTTATAGAATGACTATCTTGTAATATATAGTACTCCCTCTGTTTGGTATTTATTAGATCGCTTTCACTATTTTCATAGTCAATTTTTTTTAATTTGATCAAGTTTATATAAAAATATAATAATTTTTTAACACAAACAATTATGTTTATTAAAACTAATTTGGTGTTGTAGATGTTGCTATATATAAATTTGGTTAAACATAAAATAATTGACTAAGAAAAAAGTCAAACCGAATTATAATATGAAATGGAAGGAGTATGTAATATGAAAATGTTGGTGGCAGATTTTTTTTTTCAAATATAAACGAAAATATATTTCAAAAATATTTTGCAGAGATCAATTAATCAAGGTTAACTCCACACGAATTATTTGATTATGACCGGTTCTAGCTTAGCTACTCCCTCTATCTGTAAGATTATTTAGACCAATTAAGGAGGAAAGACGAAAAAAAAAGTATCCCACCATATAAATCTGTGCACTTGATACAATTTACTCTAATTAATATTCTCTTCGTTCCAATATAAGTGTAAGCTAGTATATACGTGTCAAGATTTTTAGTCTTAAATAGGATATGTCACATCTATATTAAATTATACTTATACTGGAACGGAAAGAGTATATGTGATGTTAATTACCTCGACGCCACTTGCAATTTGGTCGACAATTTTGGGCGTGTAGTTCCTGGCTTGATCAATGGTGAAGCCGAACAAGACCATAGCGTTGTAGTCGTTTCCGCCTAGTGAGCCGAACAAGAAGAGGGACTCGGCCAGGTAGGCTCTGCAACTTGATCGATCGAGGTCAAAATCAAATAATAACATTAATTCAGATTGTACTTTTGTCAACTACTCCCTCCGTTTCAAAATATTTGATACAGATAACTTTTTAGTACGTGTTTGACCATTCGTATTATTCAAAAAATTTAAGTAATTATTTATTATTTTCATATTATCAGGGTTATGGATACCATATATCTAATAGTAGTCGACTAGATCTCGGCAGGACCCACCACATACCATGTTCTATACGGAAACAACCTGCGGATATAGGAGGAGTTCCGGATAAGGAAAGACAACCAGAGTTCTACATGGAAACGACAAGAAATACTCGGATTGTATCCATATTGGTATCCCTAATTCTACTTGGACAAGGGGACACCTATGGGTATAAATACAAGACCCCCTAGGAGGAGAGGGGACAACCAAGACAACTGTCACGCCCCGAACTAGCCTCGAACGGAACCAACCCGTGACGCTCCAAATTAACCTGTTAACGGATACCAGTCCCAGGAAACAGTGCTGGTATCACAGGAAGACAGAATATCACAGCAACAGAGGTCTCTTTATTATAGAGTAGGTTTACAGTCATGTTGGGCTACAGACAGACCCCGAGCTCACAACTGCATTACAAAAGAGGAAAGCGGAAGCCAAGACTTGGACCATACATCACAGGCACGACTTAGGAACTAGATCGAAACCCTAAAACTCATCATAGCCGACTTGCTCCTGGAAGAACTCCTCGTCAGCGGGATCCATCTCATCTTTTTCAGCAACTGGGGGGGATATTTATATAGAGCAAGGGTGAGTACAGGAGTACTCCGCAAAGTCATGGGAATTTTGTGTTTAATGAAGGATTCAAAGGAAAGGCTGTTGTTTTTACAATTGATTTTTAGTTAAACTCCTTTTTAAAACAACTAAGTGAGTGCTTCTCAAACGACACGGATGAGACAGTGCATCTCGTCCGGTCGGAGTATGTGTAATGTATCAGTCTTTGATAGATTCAAGATTTGCCACCCGGCCACAACTTTCAAATGGCCACCCGGGCCTAGCTGATCCCGTCAGCCACAGATGTTCCAAACATCGAACCCAAGTCCACAACAGCAATTTCACAGAGCAGTAGTCAAACAAAACTACGCTAAGGAATCACCTTACATCCGTCCATGACTGTGGGCACGGCTGTTCGAACAGTTTAATAACCTCTGCAGAGGGGGCACACTTTACTCACACGACATTACTAACCCGGATCACCCAGCCCGTGCAGAACAGCCACGTCTGGTGACCTTGAGGTTTTCATGACAAGGCATTTCGAGAGCCGACACAGGTTTACTATATGCCAGACCAACAACAGGTTAGGTCCCAGATAATACTGTGCCAGGAAGCCCAGGGGTCCTCCCCGACACTATCCTGGCGAATCCACTTGTCTCCCGGCATCAAGGCTCCCCTGATTAGCTAATTACTCAGCCATGGGTGTCCCATTCCACCCATGTGGTCGTACTTGTTATATGTACGGATGAAATTCCAAAGGAATCGGTCCTTAAGTGCAAGAGCGGGAAACCGTGCTCCCGGCACGTCCCCCGGTCTGTGATTTTTGGAAATTCATTTAGTTCGCAAGCACCGACCCAGGTGTCGGGTTTTCCAAGTCTTTTGTAAAACCCCAAGTTTTACCCATCGTTGGATATTTTAAGTTTGAGGGGAGGTGCTCCCATGCACTTGCTCGAAGGCCCGTGCATCGAAGCACAACAGTTGACAAAGGAGTTTTAATTGTTCAATAATTCAAGGAGGGTAATTGCAGCAATTAGGATTGGGGCCGGTAGGCTATCTCGCAAGCCGCGGCCGAATTACTTGTGTTAAACCTATTCACGCAATATTTGCGGAAGAGAAATACTTAGATTTAAATTATAGGTGCAAGATGATCAAATGTGACTTGCCTTGCTCGAGATCTTGAGCTTGATCCTCGAAATCCTTGCACTGCGGGTCTTCGGGCTCCGAAACTACACGCGAAACGGGACAACTCAACAAACGGCAAAAATAAAGCCCTATTATTGACCTCTAAGCGTGCCATTAGATAGATCTCGAGATTTGAGGAATTTTGGAAGTTGAACGGAGTCAAACGGATGTACGGTTGAGAAGATTTGGAATTTTCTAAGACTAAAGGATTTACTGGGCTAAAAGAAAAGGATTTAGTAACCTCCTTTTTGGATTAGAAACGAGATAGGGAGGAGATGTAGACTTCGCGGGCGGCTTGAGCGCGGCCCGAGAGGAGTTGGCGCGGCTCGACCAATTAATTGGGCGGACGCGGCCTCAGGAGGCGGTCCAACAGAGGGAGGCGGGGAGAGAGAGAGGGAGACCCGGATCCATCGTGCAGGGTCCCGGGGCGAGCCCACGAGTCAGTGACTCGGTGCACGGGAGAGAGGGTTTACGCGGCACGGGGGAGCTAGGGTTTGCGGACGCGGTTCACAGATGGTGCACCGGGTGGACTAGGAGGCGGCGGGCCCACGCGCAGCCGGCTGACTCTCAGTGGACCACGCGCGCACGAGAGAACGGATCGAAGGAACGGCTAACCGGGTTCAAACCGTCCTGGCCCGCGGCCGAGCTGGCGCCGACGTGGCGCCTTCGTGGCTGCCACATGGGCCGGCTGGAGGAGGACGAAGGGAGACCGGCCGGAAATGGACGGCGGGCGACGGCGGTGTTCACCGGAGCTCGTTGGGACATCTTCGGCCAAGGGGAGATGCACCGGTGTGACGACAAGAACGAGAGGGATCATGCCTTCGGCTTGGATGCACCGAAGATGGCTCGACAACGTTGAATCGCGGCGGCGCACACCGGCGGCGGCAAAAGAGGGAAAAGGCGACGAGACCATGAGGGGCCGATTCCTGGCGGCGAGAGCATCTACGCGGCTACGGGATTGCATTCCTAGCACCGGATTGGGCGGGGTTACGCCGAGAGGGGCTGGCGACGAGCGGTGGCTTGCGGTGGCGAGCGGCAACGGCGGCGAGACCGTGCCGGGCGGCGGCGAGACTTGGGGCGGCGCCTACAGGCTACGAGGAGTGCTACGATCGCTACCGCCAAATCTAAGGGGAGGAGAGAGAGCGAGGAGGAAGAATGGGAGAGGTGTTCTACCGAGACGAGACGAGCGCTGTGACGAGAGGCCGACGGCACGGGAGTGATCTCTCCGGCCTCGGGTCAGGGAAGAGGAAGAAGACGAGCGCCCGGAGTCCCCTTCCGCGTCCTAGCGCGCACCGGCTCCTCCGGCACACGCGACGACGGCGGTCAGCGGAAGCGAGACAGAGGGGGCGGCAATGGCGCGGTGGAGCGAGAGTGAATGGGAGAGGGGAAGGAAGAAAGGGCGCCTTGGTTTAATAGGAGGGCAATGTCGGTTTGGAAACCGACCTAGGGCGGTCAGGGAGCGAGCTGGCGCTCGGCGCTCACGGCCAAAACGGCGACAGAGGGCATGACGCCGGCGAGGAAGAAAAAGAAGAAAAGAAAGAGGGAAAGGAGGCTTGCCTCTTGCCACTTTGGAAAAAGAAAGAGGGAGAGAGGGCGATGAGGCAGAAGGAGGAGGAGCTCTGCCTCCATTCCTTGGAGTGGAGTGGCTGGGAGTGGCTGGGCCGGGTCGATGACGACGGCGATGCTGGCGGGGTGGTTTGGAAGGGCGCGGCTACAGGGCGTCAGACGCGGGCTCAGGCGTGGCAGGTGCTGATGGCAGCGGCGACTGGCCGGTCGGCCACCACGGCACGCGCGCGCGCGGGAAGCAACGGCGCGGCGATTTGGGCGGCGTCGGCGGGAGAGGGAGCGAGAGGGAGCGAGAGCAGAGAGAGAGGGAGGAAAGAAAGAGAGAGCGAGCTCTCTCTCTCTCTCTCTCGGTCTGCGCCCGGGCGGCGCACGTGCCTCGCACGTGCGGGCAAGGATGGAGGGGAGAGAAGAGATGGGCTGAGAGGAAATGGGCCGGGGAGAAGAGATCGGCCCACAAACTTGAGGGAGGCAAAATAGACTTTTCGAGAGGATTTGATTTGGGACAGATTTGAGATTAGGGTTTGGATTCGATGATGGATTGGGGATTTGAGATCTGAAATGGCGCGGACACTGGACAACAAATAAAGAAACAATTTTCGTATTTAGGATTTTTAAAAGATAGTTTTCCCACTAGGCGCCACGACGGAACGGGCACTACAACAACCAACACACACGGACAATATAGACGCCACAAAGCCACAAGCCGATACAAGCCAACATACGCCAAGACAAGACGCCAGATATCGACATCAAAGATAGGCACGGCTAGTCCCCTACGGTGTCTCCGGATACTGTCAGGAGAGACGAATGCGCTATCTCTGATCTCGCCGGGCACGGATTCGAGGAGGAAGGCTACCCTGTTGTCGACTACGAGTCAGACCTTCAGACCACCATGTCGACAACAGTTAGATAGGTTACCTCACATATTGTACTGGTGTGATTATGGTGAATAAAAAGCAACTCCGGCTTCGGCCAACAGGATGTAGGGTTATTACCTGACAATTCAGGGGCCCGAACCTGTATAAAAATCCCTGTCTCCATCTCTTTTACCTCAGTCTCGCGTATATCCTAGTACCAACGATCCCCATGCCATGCAAATACCGTAGTCGAGATATCAAACGTCGACACACATCATTTGATTCATTGTTAAATATACTTTCATGTACACATATAGTTTTACATATTTCACAATTTTTTTTAATAAGACGAACGGTCAAACATGTGCTAAAAAGTCAACGGTGTCAAATATTTTGAAACGGAGGGAGTAATTAGCTGAAAGAAATAATGGTGTTTGTAACGACAGCTAGCTAGCTACTAGGAACAGTCGAACAGATAGCCAAATACTCCCTCTGGTAAAAAAAACATGTTGGCCCTTCATCTTTGTTGAAAAAGGAAAAAATTTCTCTTATAACTAACCTTAACCCCGCAAATCGAGAAATTTTATACAGTCCATATTCTTAATAATAAACAATTTAATCTTTTATCCTGACCTAGGTTGTCAATTTTGGTAACTTCGTCCTCCGTCGGCAAGCAAATATGTCGGCCAAAATTTTTTGGTTTTTCTTTGTATTTTTTAAATTTGATCAAATTTTATTAAAATTTAATCAGTTTTTATTGCATTTTCAAATAATTTTGGACAAAAAGTATGAAAATTCTAAAAATTTTCAGTGCACCGAAATTTTAGTCCAAAACAAAATTGACAACCCTACGTCCCTACCCTCACCATTAACCTGTTAACTTTTATTTATAAAATGGAGTTTGTGGGGGGCAAAGGAAGTACTTGCCACGACATTATTCTTGTTTAAATTTGATGATCTTTGGTCTTTTTGTGGGAAAAAAATTATACAACTCTTAAAAAAGATGCTTATGTTATCAAAATATTTCGCATCATTTAGAAAGACATTAAAATTCTGTTCACGTAGTCCATGTTGGTGCTAAATATTTCCTAAGCAGGGGATCAGAGAAGAGGAGCAGAGAAGCTTGTGCTAGTTTTAACTGGTTTCTTTACTTGCTTGCTTGAGGGCTGAACAGTACACTTGCTTGTACGTTGGGCAGCACACCATCATCAGTCTATACACATGCACTGGCTTTCTATTTATAGGCTTGATAAACCGATATGTAGGAAGCTTCAGGACCTAGCTAGAGACTTGTAGTACTACTACATTGTCAAACTTCACTGGTACTAGTACTACTGTCAAATCACATCATGCATGTCTACACACTACACTGTTCTAGAAAATTTATAGAGCAAGGACTTCAACCTTGACTTTAGTTTCACGAGTAGTAGAGAGGGTTAGAGAGTAGGCTGGTATGTTCTAGAAATAAATTAACTCCAACAGAAAAAAATTATACAACTCTTAAAAAAGATGCTTATGTTATCAAAATATTTCGCATCATTTAGAAAGACATTAAAATTCTGTTCACGTAGTCCAAACATTTGAAAATCGGTTAAAATTTAAAAATAGTACTCCTGTTGATCAACAGGTACAAGTATATAATTTGCTTTGTTTTGCTTTTATTTTGTTTTGCTTTTATTTTTTATATAGCCCTTTTTTATTTAATATATATACCGTGAAAGCCTCCTCCACTGTGCTTTCCTTATAAAAAAAACAGCTACAAGTATCTAAACACATGAAACAACGTACATACTCTGTGGTGCAGCAGTGGCGCAGATGGAGGGCAGCAAGTCGCGGAACCACCGGAGCTGGACGTTCATGGAGCCGTAGTTCCAGAACGGGAAGCCGACGCCGATGGACTCGAAGAAGTCGAAGTCCAGCGCCGTGCCGCCGACGATGGCCATGTTGGCTCCCCGGCGGAAGTCGCCGCCGATCACCTTCGACGGCGGCAGCAGCGGCAGCCCCAACCCCTCCGCTGCATCAAATTATACATCGATATCATTTCATGATCATATATTATATATATCGATGAAATAATAAGCAGCTTCGATCGATCAGCAATGGCGATCGAATTGAACCGAGGAAGTCGACGACGAGGCGGCCGTCGGAGCAGCGGCAGGTGGGGTGGCCGAAGAAGGTGATGCCGTAGGGAGGCTGCGCCATGGTGAGCTCGGTACGATTCACCGCCGACATGTTCACGCAGATGTTGCCCGTGTCCGTCAGCGAGTCACCGAAGCTGAACATGGCCTTGTACTGCCTCTTAATATCGCCGCCGCCGCCGCCATGCTCGCCGGCGACGACGCCGACGAACAAGCAGAGGCAGCAGTAGAGCAGTACGCCGACGACGACGGCAGCAGCGTGTGCTTGCTGCGCCATATGGCTTTCGTTTTCCTGCACTCTCTGCACTTCACTTCTGCTGGCTGCACGAAGCCGGCCGGACAATACTAGCACACACTCCACAGTCCACAAAGTAGATATATATACACACGACCAGGCCACAAATTAATTTAAGTTATATATACGAGCAAAGTTGAGGGAAATTTAACTATTTGTTGCTCCACTCTTTATTTGCCACATATACAATAATTGGCACTATATATTTGTCACTAGAGAGTTATGGTTTCTTAAAAAAAAAAAAACCATTTTTGCCACTCTGGCTGTATGGTATGTCAATGTACTAATGATGAGAAAAGTCTATTTTGCCCCTAGCTATTCCCTTGTGTTCATCCTCTCTCCCCCCTCCCCCAAAACAATAAACAACATGGTGCAATTGTTTGGACTGATGCAGGCAAAATGTCTCACCAGCGCCAAGATGTACTCCGACTACAATGACGACCACAGTGACAATATAGCTTCTACCACTACCCGCAGGGAGAACACCATTGCTGCTATGGTCGAGATGCACTCATGCACAGCTAAATACTGGGGTGTCCATCACACCTCGGTTCCATCAAAAAAGGTTTCTCGGAGCTGGATCTTGACTCCGATGACCACGACTACGAGGATGCGGACAGGAGGAGATGGCGGTGGTGGCGGAGGATGACGTGTGCGTTCTAGAAGGATGAGCGTCGGCGCCACACCATGCTTCCCATGGAAGTGGTGTTTCCTAGTGCCACAACCATGGGATAGAAGCGTCCTAAGGACTAGGAGCAAAGGCATATCCAGCCCAAATGTAAGGCTTGGTCCAACCTACTGATTTTTCATGAGGTTGGACAACATAGTGAAAACTCTTAATACTGGGCCCAGGTTCCTGTGGCTTAAGTCAGCCCATAACTATGGGCTCAACCATGTTTGCCTCCTCCATGCCAATGCCGGGGCCACCTCCTTCCTAGCCGCACATCCACCCTTCCACTACCAACGTTCACCGCCCAGAGCTCCAGCGAGAAGCTTGGTGACTCTGGTGTGGTACCTACATATTAATATTAAGAACCCTAAGGAAAATAAATATTATGTGTTTATGGATTAGGAAAATAAATATTATGTGTTTATGGCACTCTCTCGTAAAAAAATCATTCAGAATAAATGTGAACAAGTATTTATTTATATTTATTTTTAGAATGATTTTTTTTTGAAATAGATGGTTAAATAGTCTGATAAATTACCCGACGGAAACCTGACAAAATCATGTCCCATAAATCATAATATAAGATACCCCTTAGTATAAGAGATCCTCAGGTAAAATAGTTTGGGATAGTAAAATGGATTTTTTTTCTAATTTGAAACAAAATTTATATCCCTGGATCCATTGTATTACATTATAGAACTGATGAAGTAGTAACTAAGGTTGATCACTCATGTGTAGGAGTACTGTGATCAGTGATTACTCCTGAGGAGTACTGACCATCTTCAATGGCGATTAAGACTTGATACTACTACCAACTACCCAGAGAGAGAGACAGAGAGCATACTGCATACCAGGGTTCACTCTATCGGTTCAGGGGTTTCTATCGGGGGTCACCGAAATCCCGAAATTTCGGTCCAAAATTTTCGAAATTTTGAACAAAATTTTTAGTTGAATTTGAACAAATATTATCCAAATTCATGAAAAAATTCAAAAATTTCGGTCGAATTAATATCGTATCGGGGGTCACCGAAATGACCGAAATTCCAAAATTTCCAACCCTGCTGCATACTACTAGTGCCTTTGCTGAGTGGTACCGATACTGACTAGTGCGACCGTCTTCAATGGCGATTGAGAGTTTAGACTAGACAACCTGAGAGTGCCAATTGGCCCAAGGTCGTAGAGAGAGAGAGAGAGAGAGAGAGAGAGAGAGAGAGAGAGAGAGAGAGAGAGAGCACTTTACCAACATGATCTTGAATCCGCTTTACTAGGGGAAGTTACATACTTTAACAAAATTCCTATGTTAACTTAAAAAATTAACCATTGATTAGATGAATTATATGATCGTTGCCATGTAAGCTAATCGATGTTTAATATCATGGACCATTTTGCAAAGCCCATGCAACATGGCATGCATATGGCCGTTGTTATGTTTTGGCCCACTTTTAAAGCCCATATAATAATCTAGTATGTGATAAATAAAATACATATGTCATTGGAAATCCGCGGGCTCTAAGCTATATAAGTTCAATTAGCAACTCACTATTTGCATATTGTTAAATTAAGGAAAATACTAAACTAAGACTCGGACACGAGAACAAATAAGTAGTGATTACTTCATAATTTTAAAATTTAAATAATGAAAATGAATTGAGATTAATTCCAAACAAGCACGAGCTGTGACAACAGACCATGCAATAAACCTGTTGACAACTACTTCTATTTGATGTTTTGGATGGAATTAAGTGAAGTATTTGATACTTTGTCCATCAATAACTTTATAAGGCTTAAGGCTTACTATCAAAAAATAAATGTTGTATATGTACATATTGATTTTTCATGAAAGGTACTTTTCATAATATCTCTTAAGCTTAATGTATCTTAGTATAAATTTATTCTAATATAAAATTTGAAAGGTCATGCATCAAAGACCATGAAGAAAAAGTTAAACATCATATAAATTAATGGGATCACGATAACCAGATAGGTAGATGTGGTTGTTGAATAATTAATTAGATGTATCGTAGTAATGGTCAATCTTATATCGTAACCACAGACTTTTAAAAAATATCTAATCTTGCATCCTTGGCACTTTGAAGGAAAAAAATATGTGTACAAAATACATATGTAGTGAAAACCGGAAAACTCCCGTTAAATCAAAATAGACGTTCAAACATTATTTTTATATCTAACAGTAATTCTTAGGTTTTCACTATTTTTCTCTTTTGAAGTCCAACAAATTCAAGTTATGGGCCAAACTCTCAAATTCCAATGAAGCTCTGCACAAATTGATATTCGCAGATTGTGCACTCCGGTCATGACTCAGAATGCGAGTACTCTAGTCTCTAGCACTCGAGACAGCAGCCACGCTGCACGTAGACCTCAGTTGCCGCCGGTGATCTAGGACAAAATGGGTGGCAGTATAAAAAGAGTACTATAAATTTTATATTTGGGATGAAAGAAGTACTAAATTTATAGTAAAAATTATTAGAAGTAGTTGCCGCCCAGACTTCGTTTACTTTTCTCGGTAACATATGTAAAAATTATTAATTGCTACAGTATGCTCTTTATCACTCAGGCTTGGAACTCCACAACTGAAGTAGCCAGTCATAGGCGATAATCTGCTTCTAGTAGAGACAAGAGAGTTAGTAGTACACCTTGTGCTTTAATAACATATCTCCGATATATATCTTACAAGAAGGAGCATATTTTTTTTTCCATTCTGACAAAATCAAACGTACCTTGGACTTGGAGATCAATATGAACCGGCAGGGGCTAAACTCCTAAACAAAACACTATCTAAATTACTTCGAGTTAAAGACAGTCGCAGGGCAACTCTCCTTTGGCAGGCCGTTTTGGTGAATTCAATCGCTACATGGCGATCGATCAAAGCTAGTAGCAGCTGGTATATACATACATGCACATAACCAACCGATATATGATGGTCTATCAAAGGCCACCATGTATATATATACACAATGCAATCACATATGGATGATTGCAATGTAGCACCATGGCCGGACTGTATATACCTTGGATGCATATACAATTACAAAATCACCTAGAATGCACCTGCCAGAGGAGAGCTGCCTACTACTGTCTTCAACTAGTTCTTGCACCTCTCTCACATCCACGCTCACACTCACACACCTACGAATGCATCACAAAGACTTAGAAGACTTGCCTCTTGTCTTCCTACAAACACATGGATGCATCAGAAAACTTAAAATTTTTATCTGTTTGGTTGTTGGTGACCTGAGTAGTGTGCCTCTTGTGCCTTTCTGTTGGCAGAATTCTAGCTCCTCTTATAGCTAGGGCGACAGGAAGAAGATGAAGCAGCAGCGAAACGGCATATGCCATTGTGGTGGTGAGATGAGACAGTGAGATATATGCATTCTGACTTTTTAGGGAGGGTTTGTACCATGGATATCCTCCCCAGCTATTCCTTCGACCCTGCAACTTTATCCTATTCTCTCTCGATATGGAGAATAATCGATCGAAATCGCCCCAATGGTCCACGCTGATCCATAGATGATGGTATATAGCATCTCTCCTTGATATTGTCTTGCATTGTGTGTGTCCCGTCTTTCCATGGTCGCTGTCTCGGCCAAATTGCCTTCATTTCCCTTGTGAATTCGCCGCTGTGTTTGTGTCAAATAGAACTACTCAAATGTCCTGGAGAACCGTTCAGAAGAAAAAGAAGTCCTGGAGAGGAAAGGTCCATTCCATTTTCAACCTACCAAACTTTGAAAGTTCACTTTATGGCAATGTTTAGGTTCTTTAACAAGACAACACAAATCCACAAGACTGACATGGCAACAAGTTTCTCAATCAGCAGCTTTGCCGGCCTTCAAAATCTGAACTTCAGATAGAAAGCACGTTTTGATCTTAACCAAAATCTTCGTCTTCTCGTTGCATACAACACGAGAGAACAGAGATGCATCCATCTAACGAAGTGTCCAATGTGACCAGCACATCATAGAGAAGATGCATGACAGAATGGAGAGGCATCGATCATAGATCAAAACTGATCAAAATTTTACAGAGCATGCCATGCACGCTTCAGCTGCGATATTACAGCCAAATCGAATCGATTGAGATAACTACATACTGTTGTCCCTTCGGGCAACGACAGTTCTAAAATCATCATGGAACAGGTTGATGCCATCAGAAGAGGGAGTTGTACGTCAGGAAGGTTGACGCGATCGAAGCAGCGCAGATCACCAGAGACGGCAGCAAGGTCACATTGAGGAGCTTTCCGATTCCCAGGTACCCTGCTGCAGTGATTGTGCAGTCGGCGACCACCCGGGCCAAGGTCCCAGCCTCCGTCGAGAGGAGCCCGCCATTGTAGGTGCCACGGGAGAGACGGGACGACATCACGCTTGATAGGAGGGAGAGGTTCACTCCTGCATTTGCAGATACAAAATTTAGACGGTTTATTCAGTGCTGGCTGAAGAAATGAGCCGTAGATGAACATTCCAAGAAAAAAAAATGCTTCTCAGATGTCTCACCTTCAAGAACTTCAGCAGACACAAATGTGACCAGTGCTGAGACGACATACTGGACAACCGAGTATGTGCTCGTGATTTTGAAGCTGAAAATAATGCCGACCAGCAGTGTGATTTGAGACACCATCAGGAGTTGCCTGTC